ATTATGTTTTGTGTAGTGATGGTGGCTGAAATTATTATTACAGGACGAATTGGGTCAAAAATGACACTATTTTTATGGTAATCATAATCTTTTTTAATAAATATATAAATAAATAATAAGAATGCGAATATAAAATATTAATATTAATAAAAAATACAAAACGAAAGTGACTATATAGATCACATGTCAGGAATATGATTGGACGGCACTTCGATAAATCCGTTTTATTTATCATAAAATTTGGTCATAGATTTCACAATTTAACCACAGTTTAGGAGTTTACCCATAGTTTAGGTAATTTATAAGTTTTGTCACTAGTTTAGGAGCCTAAATTCCTAATTTCTATAGATAAACTATTTCATATTTCTTAAAATAATTTCAGCCACCATCACAACACAAAACATAATCGTGATGTGTATGAATTAATTCAAACTTTAACCACATATAAAACTCTTTTGTTTATTGCATGAAAACTTTTCAATTTTTTAATTTTTAATGTAACATCAATGCTTCATAGCTAAAAAGGTTTTGTTAGCTAATAAATTGTCATAAATCATGTTTGCACCATGAATTGAGGCTTGCATCACGAATTGCATCTTGTGTCAATTGTATAAAATTATGATAGATGGTGCAATGCAAATTTTTAGGATTTTTATTACAATTTAATTATTTTTTGACCTTAAGTATAATTGGTACAGTCCAAAAAGTTTTCGGGTTTCGGGTCGGGTTCGGGTTTTTCGGTTGTCAAATAGATAACAATGAAAAACGAAAATATTTTTGTTCAGACTTCAATTTTTAACAAATTATTTCAAATCATTTCAAGCTAACATAGCAAAACAACTCATTACCTTTGATGTTGATCTCATCCGTAACTGCACTAAATTTTACCGTTTCAAGTCTTCTTTACAACAGAATATTTCCCGTGCAACCAAATATTTCAAATTTTTATTAAAATATAAAAATCTACATATATTTTAAATCAAAAATAATAAATTATATATATTATGGATGCACTTATTTATTACTTGAGAAACATATTGAAGTTTCTTTCGATTCTTGAATAATAAGTACTTGTAATACTGAAAAAGGTATAAACTGAGAAAAGGTAATTTTTATATTATAATGTTACATAAAGAATCAAAAACTCTTTTAAGTATGGGTATTTAATGGGGGCACATTGAAATTTCAAAGCATATGCCTCATATGCAAAGAATAAAATGTGTTAAATAGTGATTTAAATTCAGAGAATTTGCTAGATCAAAAGACATCAATCCGAGGCAGAAAAATCCAGAATCTACATAATATCAAAAATGGAAAGAAATGTCTACCAAGGCCAATGAAATTGTCGTCTACGTTCTAAAATACACAATACACAATGATAATAATTAATATGGTCAAATTAGGAAGAATATTACTAAAAAAAAATACTTTAATATTAATATTAAGGGGGTAAATAAAAATTTACATAAGAATGAATAAATTGTATATGCAAGAAAAAAGATAAAGTAATAATAAATAAATAAATAAATAATAATTAAATTTATCGTTCTTTACTATTTTTAACTTGTTTTAGGGACGCGGGTGTTATTGTCATCAGATTCGTTAAATATGTTAGACCCGTTTAAAT